CCAGCCCTTTTGGCTGGTCTGTACAGGGCCTCAGTTTCTTTTAAAGGTAGGCTAGATCCACTCCCTGCTCCAAAGGCATCCAATGAACATAATGCCTGTTCAAGGCTGTAATCCAAAATGTCTCCAGAAAGTAATCTTCCTAAATTTTCAAATAGCAATAAGAGGCAGTCAAAATTCAAGGTATGCAGGGCTGACTGTCAGGCAGTAGCTATTAACAAGTTTGTGTTCTACCTAACTACCAAATGAACGTATTTATTTCAGTTCACATAGCTATTTCTCTGTAAAATGAATATATTCTCCACATTCATAGATTACATCATGCATACATTTATGTCTTTATGAAAGTCCCACACCCCAAATATGGGAATTTTTTTAGCATCTCATTTTGTCTATATGAAAGGAGAAGCTTTCCAGGCTTATAATCAGAGACACCTGCCAGTCCTAGAAAGGACAAGCTTTCTGGTCTTCAAATAAGGGACACGCCATACAATAAGGGATACCTGGCAACCTTATCAGGAAGATATATACTTGGAGAGACATAAAGGCCATCTACAAACAAACACACACATGCATACCCCTATGAATCAACACAGCTGCCTAAATGTTTGAACTCTCCTTGGGAATATGATTGAGGAAGGGGGGCTATGGGAATTGTCATGATGAGCTTCCACACTTCAGAATTTGCCACTGTGTGAATCTGGAGCACATGCTTGGCATGCACACATTTCCAGGCATCTCTACATCAGCCTGGAAAGCCTTCTTTTTGAAATCCTGGAGAGGTATGTTCAGTAATATAGGCAATACTGGCATATAGGCTTATTCCCTGAGTTGGTAGAAAATAAGTTTTTAGCTCTACTTCTGAATATACATAATCCCTACAGTGTGGCCAGATGTCATAACCACAAAGGAGGACAAGGCACCACAAAATGTAGGACTTTCTAGGGAAAATGTACAAAATAAAAATTAAAATCACTAAGAGAAATATAAAATTGTCCTTCTTAGTCATGCTCAAAATGGAAGATATTTTGGAATTCCTCCTGGATAGAAGGCTGAAATGTAGCGCATGGTCACCCTGAATCCCCGTGACCACATTCTGGGAAATAAAGCTGAAAGAGATCATTTTTCCAAGTTCTGCTTCCTAGATCCACATATGTGCAAGTATTTCTCCACACTTTGGTCCATTTGTCACCAGGTGGGTAGTCATGGTAAAGTAACCAATGCCTAAAACCATCTTAAGAGCTTTTCATCCAGGTCCTGAAAGGAAGGAAAAAGGAAAAAAACACAAACACTTGATGTTTACACTGTGGCGGGTTGTGTTGTCGTCTTTTTTCTCTATAATAAAGGGAGAATTTTAATCTGGGGGGGACAAATAAATATGGTATTGTGCCAATGCCAGTGACATGTTTATTCTCAAATTAAAGCAAACAATTTTATCTTTGGCCTGTTCTAAAAGACTTAGAGGCAACCGAAATAATAGCTGGCTCTCCTAAACCTCATTAATTAAATGAAAGTGTAACTAATTGTTACATGTTTGTTTCATGCAGACTGAAAGGTAGAATCACAACAGACATAATTAGAGTAATTATTACAGTCTGCATTTAATTCTGAACCCCCAGGGAATATTGAATTTTCATTCATGGAAACTATATTCTTCTTCTCTTTCCCCTAAACCTTTTTTTAAACTTAATTTTGTACAGATTTCATTTGCAGGTATGTTTTTGATAGTGTCATTCTAGATGACATCATGCTTTTCTCTATTCTCTCAATGGTGACAGTGCTGGTTATTCAGACTGATGGCAATCCAAAGAGAAATGCTAACTAGCATGTACCTCTTTTACTCAAAATATGTGTGACATTTTTCTGCCTACAGATATCTAAATTTTCCAGGAAAAAATTCACTGTGACCTTGTTAAAAAGTAGCATTATAGCATCCCATGGGGGGGGGGGGTGGATTTGAAGGTCATAGACAAAGAGGATTTTTGAAAGAGATAGTAATATGAATAAATTTTCTATGGTATTTTCCAATCTACAACAACTTGAATTTGTGTAATTTCAACAAGAATCAACTGACACTTTCGATTACAATTGCTTTTATCCCTCAGTTTATTTAGTGGAAGGACATTTTAGTGAGGGAAATATGACTAAAAGACTCATTTATTTGTTTTGTGAAAGCTTTGGGGTGTGAGTGTGGTAGTGGCATTTTTTAAAAAGAAAATATTAAATGTTGGCTTTTCCTGCTGATGAATTGTATTTTATGTTACTTTTGCTTTGCAGCCTCAACAAGGCAACTGTTTCAAAGTGGGTCTTGAAAATGTATTTAAATATAAGCAATTGGTTGATAGGCAGAGATAATCCATCAGCTACAAAAAATTTAATTGTTTGAGAATTCTAGTCTATAGCATTATCTATTCAAGCAACTCTGGGTCTGGTTTCCTACCAGCACATGAATGTCCAATGAAGGAAAAGCTAGCCAGGGAATGTTTTCCATAGGCATCCTAGATATTTAATAAAAAATTTATATAAAAACTTCCTAATATATTCTCAAATCTATAAAAGATGGGAGGTTATATTAGCAAACTTTAATAATACCTGTTGCTGGTTGTTCATTCTGCAATTTCTGTATAATTTATGGAAGTCTCAGAAATTGGCAGGAAGAAAGTGATTTTTATACCACAGATTGTAGCAATCAGATTGTTTAAAACTTACTAGACAGTAAGTTTTTAAGGTAAAGGAAAGTGGGGGATTGCTTTTGCAAAATTGTACTTATAACTTTTGCAATCTAGTTTGGGCCATGGAGCTATATTTCTGGGACATTGTTTTTTATGGGCAACTTTTTGAACTCGGCTATATAGAAAATTATGAAACCCACAGAGCAGCCTTAGGCAAGTCACACTTTTTCAGCCTCAGGGGAAAGCAGTGACAAACCCCCTTTGAACAAATCTTAAGAAAACCCATGATAAGTTCACAAGTTGAAGGCAACAAAAGCAACATATAGAAATTTTTTATTGCTTGCATAATGTTTAATAATATTAAAATATTACTACTCTTACTGTTATTACTACTAAGAACAATAATAATGAGAAAAACCCTCCTAGATAGCATGTATACAATTTTGTCCTGAGGTTCAAATCTCCATTAATTCACTTTCTGCAAATAGATAGAGGCAAAGAAAGAGTTGTTTGGCTAAGGCTAAGCAGTGAAAGAGAGTCAACATGGTGTAGTAAGTTCAGTGTTGGACTCTGGGAGGCTGATTTTCAATGGCTGCATCCGCAATGAAGAAACAATCTAGTGTGATACTATTTTAAGTATTATAGCTCAATGCTAGGGAATTCTAGGAATTATAGTTTATTGTGGTGCCAGCGCTCTCTGACAGGGAAGGCTACGGTTCCCAGAATTCCCTAGCATTGAGCTAGGGCAGTTAGAGCAGTCTCAAACTGGATTGTTAGAGTGCATAACTTATTTTTGCCTGTTCACTTTCAACAGGTTTTTTTTAAATCATGTTCCAATATTATTTAATTTTTAAAATCTGATATTAGCAGCCTATGATCAGAAGATGGATGTGTTAGCTTTATTAACAAGCTTTTATACTTAAATATCCTAATCTCCCCATCCCCACCCCATCCCCACCAGCATTATTGTAACTGCAGAGATGGGTATATGACATTCAATGACATGTTTAATGAAATAATTTCAATTAAAATGCTGTAAAAACTCTAGGCACTAAGTACTCCTGTGTGTGTCTGCTCAAAAAATAAACTCCATTGAATTCGATGGACCTTTCTCTCACATAAGTGGGCAGAAGATTGTAGATATAATAATGTAGCAGCATAGCATATTATTGCTTGTGAGAGAATCATGTGCAGTGGTGGAAGGAGGATATACAATATCACATTTTGATAGGCAGAGTCCTATTTTATTTTATGAATGAAAGGTGCTAGAGAAGTCCCATCTGAAATTCATGATCCTGAAGCTGGTTCAGTGTCACAGAGGAGAGGTTTGCATCAGAGATACCTGGAGTGTGTTCACCCCATATAGCAAAGCAGCTTCATTTATATACCGCTTCATATTGCGCTATGGGATGTCTAAGCGGTTTTCAACTGTGAGCTGATTGTCCCGCAACAGTTGGGTACTCATTTTAGTGGCCTCGGAAGGATGCAGGCCTGAGTCGAGCCTCAGCCCTGGCTGGTATTGAACTTGCAACCTTGTGGTCTATGAGTGAGTGGCTGCAGTATAGGCATTTAACCACTGCATCACCAGGGCTGTTTTAGTTATATAGCAGTTATATACCACTGTACTTTCATGGCTCAATCCTACAGAATCCTGGGATTTATAGTTGCTTAAGGCACTTAGAATTCTCTAGTGCACTTCCTTGAGCTAGAATGCTAGAGTTTTCTGGTGGAGAATTTAAGTACCTCACAAAACTACCAATCCTAGGATTCTGGAGAATAAAACCATGACAAAGTGCTATCAAATCGGATATGTTAATTATGCAGTGTATATATACCCCTGGATGCCAGGTTAAAAAAAATATTTCTCATCCCACCCAACTAATCCATCCACTGACTCTGGCTGCAATGCAGAAATAATGCAGTTTGACCCTGCTCTAACTGTCATGGCTCAATGCTATGGGATCCTGTGATTTGTAGTTTGTTGTGGCACCAGAATTCTCTGACAAGGGAAGGCTAAATATTTCACAAAACTACAAATACCAGCATTCAATAGCATTGAGCCATGGTAGTTGAAGTGGTGTCAAACTACAGTGCAGATGCAGACACTGAGGGAAAGGATAACAAGCTAAAATGATCCATAGCCAATACAAGCAGAATCCCTTAGTTGCTGAGACTGTCTGCCAAAACCCTGACTGGAAGCTTTTATAGAAATTGAGGAATATCACCTAATCCAGTTTGACCTGTTGATGTATAGAGGCTGCCTTTCTAACAATACAGAGATTATTAGATCCTGCAGTTCATCAGTTCAAGATACTCTTTGGCCTTGAGTACTGAGAGCCAGTGGTTTGAGTATTGGACTATGACTCTAGAGACCAGGGTTCGAGTCCCCGCTCAACCATGAAACCCACTGGGTGATGTTGGGCAAGCTCTCAGCCTCCTCGGAACAAATATTGCCATGAAAACCCTGTGATAGGTTTGCCTCAGGGTGGCCATAACTTGGAAATGATTTGAAGCCACACAACAAACTGACATTCTCACTGAAAGAATTCAGAAAGATCAGCTGGATTAAGGACTCTATAACCACCTTATAAAGATTTCAGAAAGCAGGGCTAATCCTACTCTTAAGAAGAGTGGAATGGCTGCCTTGGGTAGCAGATCATGGGTTAGTTATTTCATTTGTTATCATTGTATCTTTACTGCCAGGAGGCAGGTGGGACACTTGTGGGATCTTCTCTCTTGTGTGCCAAAATAACCTAGGTGGCTTTGAGGACTGTGTGGCTTAGTTTGAGTAAGGAAGGGTGTCATCTACTGCTCTGACACAAGCAGCAACATGTCTTGGGTCATCCCTCTCTCTAGGATTAAGCATTTTCTATTTGCTTTTTGTCATCATAATGGAAAGAAATTCGGCCTGCAGTCATACAGAATAAACCACATCCCACTGAGAACTGCTGTTTGAAAGAAATTCTGTATTTGAACAGTGAAGGACCAAGTGATTTTTCATAGTGGAATTTCCCTCATGTTTCCTTACAAGAGGAAAGCCAAAGTGTGTGAGGCAGATGCAAGCATTAGTGTGACAACAATTAATAACATTAGTCCTTTCCTCTAGAACATCTATCTTTTATCCACTCTTTTTTTATGATTCATGGCAATTTTTTAAGAAATGTATCAGCAGACTTTGAAGCATGGATAGAAATTGAAGCTTTCAGAAACCACTGTGTGTTTCTAAAGATTGCAGCTTCAGCCTCTCTTATTGCTTCCTGTTCCATGTGGCTAGAGGATTACTGATAACTTTTCTCTTAACTAGTCAGGTCAGCATCTGTTCCTTGCAGGGGGTGAGACTGATGCTCTAATTTTTTGTTTCTTTTCATTATTTCTCTTTTGCTGTTTTACTTAGGAAATTAACAATAACTTAATTTAGGTTGCATCTGCACTGCAGAAATAATCTAGTGCAGCCTAAATTAAGCTAGTGTTAATTTCCTAAGTAAAATGGCAAAAGAGAAATAATAGAATAAGAGAAATAGAATCCTGGAAAATTGTAGTTTGTTGTGGCACCAGAGCTCTCTAATCCAGAAGGCTAAATGTCTCACAAAACTACAATTCCCAGAATTCCATTGCATTGAGCGATAGCAGTTAAAGTGGTGTCAAACTTTTGCAATGCAGATGCAGCCTGAAAAGAAGGAAGGAATCAAACAACTACCTCCCAATCCTATGAGGAGTAAAAGCTGTGTAATTAAAGGGTAATTCATCATTAATCCCTTCATCTTTCCCATCCGCACAGAACAGAAGAACTAAAAAATTGCAAGAAGGAAGCTACTACTTAATAGTACAAAGGACCTTTGTTTAATGAGGATGACAGTGCATATGTCAAGTATTTTTTTGCATAAGGCCTATTGAGCTCAGTTGGACTTTCTTGAAGGTAAACTTGTACAGGATTGCAACCTTACATATGAATGAACATTATAGAAGAATCTGAATCAAGGGGGAGAGCACTGCTGCATAATATACGTACTAAGGATGCAATCTTACAACACTTACTTGGGAATAAACCCTGCTGAATTAAATTGATTTTACTTCTGAGTAGAGAACCAGGATCTTATTTATTCTCCCTGATTAATCAGCTCTAAAGGGCCTTGGTCTGGGAACAACTCAAGATATTTTACATGCAAATATATTAAGAGGTAGTCCTTTCCTCTAGAACATCTATCTTTTATCCACTTGAATATTGTTTCTTTGTCTTTAATGACCTTAGAGAATCTACAGTCAACTGCTATTTGCCCTTAGCACAGCCAATCCCTCCATGAAATGATATTGGGTGAAATCCACTTGTTTCCATCTACCAACAGAATGGAATCTGTCAGTACAATAAATGCCCCTGCAGTCCCCTGTGCACCTGCTAAATATCTGCTTCAAAAGGCTAGAGGAAGCCCCTGGAGCAGACTTTAGGGTCTTTGAATTGGATCTAAGAATCTCTAATGGCTAAAAATTCAAACTATATTTCTGAGTAAACATTAATATAAAGCCAAAATCCACAAAAGAGTGTTTCCTTTGTTGGCTAACCATTAAGATAAATGTTGGTGCTGCATTAAGAAAATTGTTGCTGTCGTTTTCTAGCACATCTGTTGCACTTGACATAATAGTTTGTCTAAGTGCCTAAATACTCTAAAGGTACCAGACCATGTTTGATCTTGGAAGCTAAGCAGGGTAGCCTTGGTTAGTACTTGGATGGGAGACTGCTATAACAAATACCAGATGCTGTAGGCTATATTTCAGAGGAAGGAAATGACAAAACCACCACTGACTATTTCTTGCCAAAAAAAACACTACGAAATCCATGGGGTAGCCATGTCCATAGGTGACTTGAAGGTATGCACGCACGCACACACACACACACACAGAGAGTTTATATTAAGTAGACAAATACATGGCAAACATGGCAACTATCCAAAAGGAAAACAATGGAAGAAATGCTATAACTCAAGTATAAAGGTATATCATGAAAGTCAGAATCAACAATGGCATAGTATTAAGCTGATGGATGAAGCAACTAATTCGAAATGTGGTGCTATGGATATTGTGGACCACCAAAAGACCAAAAAAAAATGGCCCAAGAGCAAATAGTACTTGATAAAATGAGAATCAGTAAGAAAAGGTGAACATATTATAGATGGATTGATTCAATAAAGGAAGCCACAGCCATGGATATGCAAGACCTGAGCAAGGCTGTTAATGCCTGGGGCTCTTAGAGGTCTTTCATTAATAGGGTTTCCATAAGTTGGGTCTACCTAATTGGCAAATAACAATAACAACAAATGCTGTAACAATATCCACAGATCTTTCAGAACTTTAACAGGACAGGAATATCTTTATTATGAGAAACCGTTTACTTAGAAATCATACAAGACTCGGAAAGTCTACTGCTACCTCCCCCACGCACACCTCCCTCCCACCCCAAATCCCAACCAAAAAAAGGGGGGGAACAGAATCCTCATAGCTTTGGAACCATGCGTTGTTTCTTTTGAAGCCAGTCCATACCCCATCATCCCCCCTCCAGATTCAAGACAATGGAACAAGTTTAGGACAAAATTTTATGCTAAATCTTAAAATTTCTCACCTTTTTATTAATACGTGTCAAGAGGTAATGTTACATTTTAATAATGGGAGGGGGATTTTGCCTATTGATTTCTTTCAGTGCCAGCCAGGTTTGACATCTGGGTGTGCACTGTTATTTGCAGCAATTTAAATTCACTGATTTCAGCCATAGGGGCCACATTTGCATTTCATGAGTAGCATTTGGTGAATGCATTTTATACAGTCCCTGAAAACAGCAGTGGTACTGGCAGTATTAGAGTGGCTGGTAAGGATGCCTCTTCCCGGGTCACCACATAGCAACCACTATGTTTCTAAGGACAAATAGCTCCTTTCTAGCCTAAGCAACTGGATGAGAACATCAAAACATGTCTTGTACGAGCCCTCTAATACCCATTAGTGTTAGAAACTGTTACTTCAATCATGAATGACACGGCCCTAATTATTAAGGTAATTAGAAGTTATAACACTGGCAATATTAAAGGGAGAACTCCTAAAGCCCATTAACAATGTTACTTTAAGTGATCTGGCTGTGAACTGTTCAAATCTCTAATTACATTATATGTCTATCTTAAAGGGTGATGCAATTAAGTGATGGGAGCGGGAATTAATGTATAGTGACTACTGTGCAACACTTCTAAGTACTATTTTCACAGAAAATCAGCTATAGTAATGTCATTATGTCATTTAAAGCTTTTTTTTAACCATTAACTGCATATAGAACAGCATTGAAAAGAATTCAGTTCTTAATATATTTATGCATGTTTATGTGTCAGCATAAATATTTCTAATACATATATAACACATTTATCTACATTTAAGCCTTCTGTGCCTGGCCATGGGCTGGATTTAATTTTTGTGGACTAATCTGGCTGGACGAAGCATGCCAGTGCAGCTAGGTAAAAGTGAATTATGTCACACATTTTTCTATGCAGTTTGTACCACCAGCCATTCCCACAGTGGGAAAGCAGAGTACAATTCCTGCTGGTAGCTGGTGCCACAATAAAATACAGTTCCCATGATTCCCTAACCCTAACCCTAACCCTTAAAGTGGACTCAATTTGCACTATTTCTAGCAGTCTGCAAAGGCCCATAGTTTCACAAACAGGAATCTCCTAAGTACCAACCTTACACTCTGAACCACTCTACACTTTGAACCAGCTACCAGCAGGAATTGTACTCTGCTTTTCCACTGTGGGAATGGCTGGTGGTACAAACTGCATAGAAAAATGTGTGACATAATTCACTTTTACCTAGCTGCACTGGCATTTCTATGCGTTTTCCTATTGTAAAAGTTACAATGCACCTTTTAAGGCTCTGTAGCTCTGAAATTCAACCCTCAGGCTGGAAGAGTTCCATTCTTTTTTCTGAGCATTGCATGTCCCTCCTATGCCCAAAATTTTATTTTTAAAAATAAAAATTTAAAAAGTCCAGTTCCTACTGTTTTAAAGATCACAAAACCAATAAGCTGTTGAAAAGGAAGAGGGTTCAGTGACATTCCCAGAAATGGGGAGTTACTTTTGGAAAGTGAAAAGGTCTTTCTCCCCATTTAAAATTCTTCCCAATTTTTTTTAATAATTGTATTGGGTTTTTCTCTATTCTATATATATTTGTTTGCTTTCAGTATCTATATTCATGTGCTTTTCTATTTTTCTATTCACAAATTTTATTTATATTTATATAAAAACAGTACACCAATATAATCCATTCTTGATTTAGTATTGTGATGACTAGAACCCAGCATTCTTCTAATAAAAATAGCATAGCATCCTGTGGGAAGTCTATGGAATATAAGAGCATTGATCCTAG